TTTTCACAAGCCATCTTCATCCAATACGTTGGAAATCCTCACATCCGGATTTTTTTGAACCGCGAACACACATTAGTTTAACGATTGATAATTAAGTGGAAAATTATACAGGTTAAGTTAATTAAACCCAATACAATAGTGTTTTGGTGGTAAAACAAATATGTGTGTCACTTCAACAAAAAAATATTTGGGTAAAAAGAACAGTGCCACAAAACCATTTTTTTGAGTGCATGTTCCTTTTACGCAACACAATTTTCAACTAAAAATAAAAAAAAATGCAAAAGAAAAAGCAAACTTTGAAAATGGATTTCAAAGGGCTCGTTTTTGAAAACAATATTGTTATCGTCTCTCCATGTAAACTACAAAAATAAAATAAAAAATACTGTATGTGAAATTGGTAACATCATGCACACGTGTATTCTGTGTCCAGTCTATAGCCACGTAGTGTTTCTTTTAAAAAGTAACATTGCCAACTACTGGCCTGGCTGCATTACTCAGTGTTTTTTGTTTTGACAATGTTGTTGTCTGTATGTGAGAAACCCAAAGAAAAAAAAAATGTTTTTGTTTTTAATACATCATTGTTGTGTAAAGGTACCCTTAATTCCATCTCTGGGGGTCTGGTGAAGTTTTCACAGATTTATCAGGGGATTGATTTTCAATCGTAGCACAGTGCCGACTTTCCATTGTTTAGTTTCTGATTTTCTGTTATGCTTTCTTCCTCGGTCTTGCTCTCTTCCCACTCTATTCATCGGTCCGGCTGAGCGCAGTCTTCTGTGTCAGCTTAATAAAGTCATTCTGCTCGGCCGTGTTCTGCCGCTTGTACTCAGCAGAGTGCTACTTATTGACATTTTTTCATTCTGCTTTTTTCCGCTGCATGTGTAAGACCTATAGAGCTCATTGAGGGACTGAATTAGGCCTGCTCTCTCTCTCACTCCCTCTTTCTTTAGCTCTCCATTCTGCAATTCTGTGCCGCAACAGTTCAGTATTACCCTCCATCTCTGTCTGTCTCTCTCAAGTACTATACGCAAGTCAGCGAGAGAGAGAGAGAGAGAGAGAGAGAGAGAGAGAGAGTATTCTGAGTGAAAAGGAGGGAAGCAGACCATTAGAGGTAAAGAATAAGCAAGCCCTTCGAGAGTCCTTTTGTCCTTTCATACGGAGGAGGGCTGTTTGCGCTACTATTGTTGGTTTTCCCCTTGATTTCATCTGGAAAGTATCATTACCGAACAAGAGCCTCTTCTGAGCGGTTTGAGCCTATCTCCACACAGTATGCCGCAGCTTTTGTGGAATCGTGTGTGCCTGAGAAGCCCTGAAAAGGGAACTTGAAACAATTTACACCCTGTTAGCAATCAGACTCCACTCAACACATGGGATTTAGTTCATATAAAAATGATTACGTTTGTTAAAGAGCCCCTATCATAGCATTTGAAATGTTCCCATTTTTGTTTTAGGAGTTCCCAAAAACAGTTTAACGTGCATGCAAGGATAAAAAACACTTTATTTGTCTTATAATATGCTTTTATTTTGCGATTCATTTTCCCAAACACCTCCTTTGAGTGACGCGAATCTGCGGCGATTGGTCAAATGACCCAGTTAGTTGTTATTGGTAAACCGTAGGCAGAGACTTCGGTAACGGAACGCCCATAACCAGGATTATAGCTTGTCAAGTGTTGAAAATTGTATATAGTGTTTGAAGAAAAAGTGCACTTTCCACACGGTCCCTTACTCAAGAGCGAGCTTTCCCGGCGAAACTCAAATTGCGACGGCTTTTGAAGGGCAGTGCTTATTATATAGAGCGAAGTCATATTTGGCTAAGTCGTTTAGGAGGTAATTGCCATTTTTCAATGAATGTCTGGATGTACAACTATATTGAGCATGCTACAGAAAACATAACAGCAAACATTATTAATATTACTTACAGATTGTGATTCGGAGGATGACGAACCTGATCCATATACACTGGATACTGAGCCCTCTTTCATGAACGACCGGCTTGCTAATGATTGTTCATTAAAATGATGAGAACACAAGGTTCGGGCTATACTGTTGCAAAAATGAACTCTGACCACTGATTCTTCACATGCTCGTCCCTGGACAATGGAAACAAGTGGCTGAACTGTCTTTGCAGTGTAGAATACAGCGTCTTCTCGACATGATGCGATTCAGCTGAAGTATTTGAATGTGTTCTAGACGTCACTTCAAGTCTGCGCGCGGAGTTGTTGGGAGCGGCCAATGACCTCTCTACGTCACGATGTAACAGCTAATGACTCGTTTCAAAAACAATTCATTTAGACTCAGAGTCGACTCTCACTTTTGAAAGACAATAACTTTATATACGGTGCACTTTCAGGTATAAATCTTTGCAGGATGTTTTCATTCCCTTAGAGCTATATTCCATATGAACAGTCATTTTCAAAAATCCATGATAGGTGCTCTTTAATGAAGTATACCTATAAAGTATTTTTTTTTTAATGAACACATAATTGTTTGTAATAAATTGAATCATGTCCCCATACCATTATCCACACTTATATATATATATATTCCACAATTTATTATTATCATTGAATTATTACATGCTACATATTATATCAAATTGTGAATATATGTATAATAACTGTGTGTGCATGTGTGTGTATGTGTGTTTGAATGTGAATTTGAATGTGAAAAGTAAACAATATATTTCTTTCTAGTTTCACCTTTTGTAATATCTCTTCAGTGATTGACTTCTCTGCCACTCCTGTCTCAAATAATCAGCATCTGGCATGAAATAGGAGAAATGGCACATCAAGAAATTAATTGATTTAAAATGAATTACTTGAAAAAATTGTATTCAGTTGACAGCCTTGATGATATAATGACATAAAGTTATTAAAAAAAAACACACAAAAAATGAATGTCAGTCCTTGTTAAAAAAAATAATAATAATAACATAGAGGGGAAAAATGAAATGGTTTGAATTTCAGATTTCAGCAGCACAGGACTATATATAAAAATGTATGCCAGCGGTCTGAATCCAGAAACATGCTGTGTGCCCCAGAGCTATTGAGAAGCTTCTCTTAACGACCTGCTAGGGGCCAGTGGCTGAAAGGAAAGTGCTACCAAAACAAGAGAGCCATCATTAAGGTCAGCGGCTCTAAATAATACAATTCCTAGCCTTCAAGAAAACCTAGTGGTGCCCTGATTTTCTTTGCCTCTTTTTTTACAGGGAAAAGACATTCATTTGCATAAAACTTTCTTGTTAAACTGTGTGTTAAAAAGAAATGCTTGTCGTTCCTTGAATTTTGTTACTATGAATTGAAAACTTTGCGCACGATATATACATACTTTAGAAGTGTAGCGTTTTACGGTCAAGAGTGGTTTGCCAAATACCAGCGAGTTGCCGTTAGCAGAAGATTTACTACTAATTTGATATGCAGATATTTTGAGGTGACAAGGTTAATGCATACTTTTTTTTTCTCATATCATATCAAATCAAAGCCATTTTCCTGGCCTTTATTCCCTCTATCTGTTGGTCGTAATCCTCTTTCAGCAGCTATGTCCAGTTACTAAATGATGAAAATCTTATTCGGCTTCACTCAGTGGCTTGGCTAATGGGAAATGAGCACACTTTAAAAAACAGCTAAGTGTTTTAGGCTGAGAGGAAAGTGGAACTGTTAATATCATTACATTTGAAGAGAGCGTTTGTAACACAGATTCTATTTCTTAAATGAAGATTGGCCTGTGCATTATGGATGTATTGACGGCAGACATGAGCGGAAGATTAGTGGTATATCCAGGAACCCTCCCAGCGTAACCAGACCCTAATCTCTTAATTGTGTAGTTCTCTTTCAGACACTCAACAAGCATTAACAAAATTAGAAATCTTCCCCCCCCTCCCCCTGCATTTTGTGGGTTGAGTGTGATTGATTAGTGAGAAACTCTTTGCATCAAGGCATGTAGAAATACTCTGCTCAATAAAACTGTTAAATGTCATTCTTATAGCGGTGGTTCTCAACTGGTGGGTTACGACCCAAAATGTTTCGCAGATCTCTTCTTAATTGAATTAGTTTGTATTGTACAAGCCGCACAATCATATTTAGTTCATGAGTAGAAAACACGTCCAATATTGTTATTGACGTCAAAAGCCACACATCCAATCACACTATGATATTTTGGGGCAAACACATCTGTCTCATCTGTGAATAAGCAGATGCTGGCATAGACAGGTTGCTTGACATCCTCTCATCCTCAAAATCCATGAACAACATCAATTAAAATAATATACATTAAATAGGTTCACTTTGTGTGAACTACATTGTTTTGTGTGAATTATTGGCTGTTGAGAGACTATGAAACTAATGAAATTTAATGAAACTAATGAAAATATGAAAATTATTTTAGTTTTAAAGTTCAGTTCAGCTTGATATTATTGGTGCTATGCAGTTTATGGTAATATCAATACATTTTATTAAGCACAAATATTTTAAATGTTGATGTATTACAACGAAAAACTCTATAGTAACTCTTTAAAAATGACTTTTCGAACATAATATAAGCTGCAGTATATTTTAAATGGGGAATAATGCAAATTTAAACCTTCACAAAAATCATGCACGCACACACACATTCTCAATAGTAATTTGATTTCGAGTGATTTTAACACAGACATACTTTTGTTCAATTCTGGTACCATATGGTCACATCTTGAATGCTGTAAAATCTGTTTCCTGAAGCAAAACCAGTTTAGATCCACTTGCTTTATTCCACTTCCATTTTGGAGGGGGAAAAAAATAGGAAAATATTGTTATGTGTACCATTTCTGGCATGGAAACTATGTCTTGCCTGTCTTATTCCCTGCTCTCGCCACCTTTTGCATGGTCCCATGTTGCAAACATCAGTTTTGACAGATCTCATTTTCTCTCCCCTCAGCCCACTCTATATGATTGACTTGTAATTACTGAAGGGAGGTGCTGTATTTGGTGTGTAATGTGTTACTCTAATTTGTATGTCTCTGTTGACAGATTCCAGGACAACCAATGAGCTGTGATACGGACCAACTCAGGGTAAGTGATGCTTCTGTGTCGCTTTGTGTGATTGTGTGTGTCTGTGCTGCCGTTGTGTTTCTGGTTGTTGTTGTTGTTGCTATCGACCTTTAATTAATCAATCCATGAAGATCTTACAACTGCGATTCATTCATGTAAAGACAAATCATTTCGTCACAATGACTTTAGAATGAATTCTTGTGTATCCTTCATGTTCATTTCAGCATCTCAGGCTGAGAAGATGATGATATTAAATCAATACGCAAAAAAAAAAAAAACTTCAGTTTTAGTCTCAGAATCAAACCCTGTTATTCCCTCATACTCTGCTGTGTCCATATTAAAAATACAACAAAGCTTACCTTGCCTTCTCATTAAACTTTAATAGTGGCTCTAAAACACTCCTGCTCACTCACTGGCCTGAAATCCAGGGTAGCAAAGGTGTCAGCTTCACTCCTGATGAAGACCCTCCCAAAGATCTTCATCTTCTTCAAACACACCGTATCTGTGTGGAGGGATAACCATGTGTCCTGATGCCTCTGCCTTGATCTCGCATAGCACACAGTGTGTATGTGCAGCCCTGCAGAATCATGGGAGAGATGCGGGAGCGGAGGTGCTGTGGTCCCCTCTCAGAGCTGTAATTTATCATGCTTTGTTGAAGGGTTTTAAGTCTGATAGGGCTGATATGATTAATGCCCAGACCTTACTGTTCATACACACCCATCACTCTATTTTTTTTTTTCTGGCAATGTTTCTTGGCTACTTTCTTGATTATTTGATTTTTTTAATCATATATATATATATAATTTCCTTTGAAATTAGAGCAGTATATGTGGACTATATTTAATTAAAAATTCATATATTAATAAGGCTAATAATAATAAGCAGGCCAGTGCTGTTTTTTCTCTTGGAAACATGAAAAGCACTTCTCTCATTTCCTCTTGTTAGTGACTCACTCAATAATCTGAAGACTGTGCTGTTTGGATGCTTGCCTTCCATTTAGATTATAAGAGCAGGATCGAGGGTGATGTATTTAGTACTTTTTAAACAGGAAATCGACAACCTAATGCTACCTTTTTTTGTTTTTTTTTAGGTTATGTTTTTGTCATAATCCAAACAAATGAGAGGCACTACTGCTTTTACTGCTACTGTTTCAGACTTGTAGCTTTTTTAATTGGGTTAAAGGGCACAATCGGACCGAGGAGACGGCAGCTGAATCGGTCTGCTCAATGTAAATGGACATGTCAGTAAGCTGCACTCAGTTTCCTTGACCATTAGACCTTTCTTGCCCCGAAGTAAAATGGTTTAACGAAATTGTGTGCTGAAGTATGTTCGTTTTGCTTGGGTGCACAAACAATGGGCTTTACATTGTACCTGCCATTTATCTTTGTTTAATGTCAACAATCATTTATTGGTTTCAGAATGTTGTTCAGAGTATTGACCGGATTTCTCTGTATTAATCGTTTCATTCGGAAGAAAACCGTTCCATCTTGTTGCAAAAGCAAATTCTGATAAAAATGCACTCAAAGTCAATCATTCCTGCTAGGCAGGACTCTATCATATATAATGTATCAAATCAAATATTTAACTCATTTAACTTTATAAAAATGTTCAATTCATTTAGAATTTCTGAAAGCCAGTTTGTAGTTTTGTCCTTATTCTTTTGTAATTTTCCTTTAACTAACAAAAGCCAGTTCCGTAATGAAATCACTGTCCCGGAAGTAACATCATTTTTAATGGGTACATCACAAACAATCAATAGCAATGGATTTGATGAATTATGTTTTTTTATTTATTTGTGATACTTTGCTGTGCTTCACTCTTAAACATCCCATCCTTTTATATAAAATGACAGAAATCATAATATTAAAAAAATGAAATATTAAAAGTTAAATGGCAAATATTTTATACACCAAGCATATTTAATAGATTAAAGTTTAAAATACACTGCACAACAGGAATAACCCTATTCAAATTATCATTAAGAAATGTCATTTATTGGAGCATTGGTGTCTTAAATTGCTGTGACTGACGGTTTGTGTTGTGCCTTAGAAATCCCTTACCTGTGGTGAAATCACTTTAACATGGCCTTATTGCTTTAATGTGGTGTGTGTGTGTGTGTGTGTGTGGAATGTGTGCCCGAGTCTGAGCCTTTAGCTCGATAATTTGTCCTCCTCAGACACTCTCACTCTCTCTCTCTCTTTCTATATGTGACGGTTGTACTTCTTTTTTATTGTTTTCCTTTTAAAGGGGAGTCAAATTGCTTCCTGAGGAGAATTTAATATTTAAATTTCCCTCAGAATTTAATTTCCCTCATAAATACACTGGCAAATCTCATTGCGTTTGTGTCTCAGACACACATAAAACAAAAAAATGGACCTTGCTCAAATCTCCATTTTGTCCCCTCTTGGTTTGAAATTCATTTACAAAAAGGATTTGTTGTTGTTTGCTGTTACTCTTGAGTTTCTCTAATACCTGTGCTTGATTAAAAATCTCATCCCTCTTCTGAAGAGTAGTAATGAGTTTTAGCCTCGTACTGTATGTGCTTGAGCTTGGCTGGCTGCGTGTCTGGTCTCTCAGTAGCAGTAGCGTTGTAGAGTCAGCAGATGGCTGTAGAAAAGTGCTGTAAGAAGGCAGCCAGTGCGTCAGAGCCAAAGCAACCCGAGCGGGAAGGCCTTGGCCCCAGTACTCACTGCTTTTATCTCAGCACATTCACTCCAGACGAGGAGGAGAAGAACAGGGGAAGGGGGTCGTCCAGGCTGCAGAGTCAGGTGCAAGCTTCACTTTTAGGAGAGGGTGGTGCTTTTCTACCTCCTTTCATCCCATTGTGCCATTTTTGACTGTACCTTACCTGTATTTTTTCCTTTTTTTATTTACGTGAATCTCACATAGCTGAGATTGCAGTAACTTTTTCGGAGGAAAGTTGCAAGCTTAATTTTTATTTCCGGTCAATTGTCTTCTTACCTTCCCTCAGGACAGAAGATGAGCCTTTTGAATTCCCACTGATCTCTTCCCCTGCGCATCAGTTTCCGGATGACAGCTTCTGAGGATCTGAACAGCATTTTGTTAGGGGGAAAAGTCCTTTTTATGTATGGGGAAAAATCTGTTTTGGATCGTCCTATCAGCTGTGCGTTAACGTACACGTACCTTTCTTGAGGAGCCTGTGCTAGAGAACCCTGCTCTCTCTCTCTCTCTCTCTCTCTCTCTCTCTCTCTCTCTCTCTCTCTCTCTCTCTCTCTCTCTCTCTCTCTCTCTGGCACTTTGAGTGCACAGTTGTACTGGACTTCCTTGGTGCACGGATCTTCTCATTAAATAGATACGTCAGGAATTGGTGCCTAAGCAGGGGTTGTCAGCGAAAGGGTGAAGAGGACCAAGTGGGGAAGGCAAGAAAGAGCAAAAAAAAAAGAAGAAAAAAGAAGAGAAGAGCAAGAACAAGACTGCTAGAAGCATCTCAAACCTTGTGAAGTAGCTTCTTCTTCCTCCAAGTGTCAGTTTTAATAAGCTCTATTATAGTGATATAATAAATTATACAAAAGAACTGTGAGCCTGAGAGAGTGGAAACAAGAAGGATTCATCCGGGTTTCCGTAGCCGAGCTCGAGAAGTTAAAAGAAGATAAGTAAGGAAGCATTTCCTCACTGCCGGAGAGCCCCTGACTCCTCGCTCAAGATGATGATGTATTTGTGGGTAGGTAACAACCATCCCCGACCGATTGTGTCACATTCGTTTGCTGTTTGCAGGCTTCGCTTTGCATGTGTGCCGCACAAAAGTGCTGTGTGTGTCGTCCTTGATGTTTATGTGTTTTCTCATCTGAAGAGAGCATTTTTGTAGCAATTGGTTGCAGGGTGGAAATCAGTCCAAATACATTTGATCCTCTCTGTATGCGATATCCTCTGTTTTGTTGTGTTTTGTGTACCGGTTGGCAATCAGTCATTTTAAAGTTTCATCTCTTTCTCTCATCTCGTCCTTGCCGAGACTACTCTTTCTTTGGAGTAGAGAGTGTCAGAGAAGCGGTGCGTGACACGTTGATTCATAACTGCAGGGTTAAAGCACAGGAAGTCATTTTCGAGAGCTGTAAGCGTGTGTGTCTTGGCCTGCTCATTATCTGTCTCTTCACCTGCCATTACCACTCAAAATCAGTCCTAGCTGAGGAAATCTCGCTGCACTTAATTGCCCATGGAATAAATTTAAAGCACCCTGATGACTTCTTCACTGTGAGGGTTTATCAGGAAATTAATCTTATTTGAGCAGATCTTAATCTGATGGGCAGTTCAAGTGAAAATAGAAATAAGGAACGAGTTGATCCTTTACGTAATGTGTCAGCCGGAGATTTTTTTTTCTTTTCTTTTTTCCCCCATTAAGAGTCATGTTTGATTTTGGATGTTGTGCAAGTTGACTGACTGACTGACTTTTTTTTTTTTTTTTTTTACCATAAAATAATGGAGGCAAGATAATAATAATAATAGTAATTATAATACATTTTCTTGTGTTATTGAAAATTGTTCAGCAAGACAAATGAGAACTGCTATTTAAGTATTCTCATATTATTAATAATTAAAGCACAAACATGCTCTTAAACTCCGTCAGTAGTCAGAAGAGCTCAAAATCAAAAGACTTGATAAACACACAAGACGATCTCCAGTTACTTAGTCATGCATCTACGGCAAACTGAAATTCTATATTAAGAAAATGGATATTGAATGTTTAATTGGAACATGGGTGGTCTGGAAGGAATATGCTTCGTAGGAAAGATTCAAGGATGAAATTTCCCAGGAGATGCAGAAATTACTGTGCTGTATAAAAGTATACAGTTCTTGCTAAATATTTAATTTGCGTCATTTTAAGTTGGCTTGTGACAAGAAATTCACTTCTTTGCTGGTTTATTTGAGGTGAACATAACTGACACATCTTGTATTTAATATTTAATAAAATGTTACTGAATATAGATAGAAGCACACACTATTACTTTTAGTCTTGATAGTTTACATAATAAAGACAGAATGATGTCCAGAGGCCTAATTTTGTA